AGAGATAGAAATGATCAGGAAGAGAGAAAGAGAAGGTGTCACGGGGGAAGCTGAGAGAGAGGAAAGAGAGAGAGGCCAGAAAGAAAGAAGGGAAAGGAGAAAAAAAAAGAGAAAATGAAGAAAGAGGCGTGGCCGAGCGGAGAAGGAAGAGAGAGCCGATGGTCGCTGCAAGGGGAAGAAGAGAAGAGAAGAGAGTGGCAGAGGTGGTGAATGGTGGAGTTTGAAGTCGAAGGGAAGAAGAAAGGAAGGAAAATGGTCGAAATGTCATGCGAAGGCAGAGACCGACACGAGTAAAGGTAATTTCATCCTTTTTTTTGTTCTTCTCTTCCTATTCCGTTATATTCTTTTATTTTGCTTACTAATCGGTTTGTAGGTTTGAGAAATCACCATCTGAATCTCAAACAAGCTAAAACGTCGTGGGGTGACCAAGAGAAGACCACGAGGAGCCAAGCCGAGGCTGAATCGCTCGCACTGAAGGTAAAATCATTTTGTTTTCATGTTTTGGTGGTGGTTTGAGCAGTTGTGGAGAGGGACGATGTCAGGCTAGCCGCGCGAGCTCGGTCGGGCCACCCACCTGCGTAGGAATCAAGGAAGTTTCCTAAAAAATGGGGAAAACCCAGCCACCATGGAAGTTGAAGGGTCTTCCGCAGGAATGGAGGCCAGAATCGGCTTTTGGGATTTTGATTCACCGTTTGGGAAGCTAAAAAGTCTTTCTTGAAAAACAGAAATTCAATTCGTCGAACGGGAAGCTGAAATATTTTCGAGGTATAGATCCCAAAAATTTTGGGTATTCCGTTGGATGGTCATTGGAACCTGTAATTTGATTAAATTAATTTTTAGTATTTCGAAATATTTTAATTAATTTATGTTGGGATATAAAAATATTTAGACATTCAGGCAGATCCGGGAAGATGCATAGGAATGTAAGTATTTCTAAATCTCAACTAGGTTTGAATTTTAAAAAGTGCATTCATTTCATAAAAATTATGAATTTTGATATTTAAACGGACATTGACCCAATTTTCGATGAAAAAATATAACCTAAGTTATGATTAGTAAACCTAAGCAATTGAAACCCTATGAGGAGACGAAACTAGAAAGTAAATCCAATGAACTGAGAGTTATTTGGACTGATGAAATACGAAATTGTAAATTTAAAAAATTCCCAATTAAGTGAAAAATTGAAAAAGAAAAAGAAATAAAATGAAAAGGTAAAAATAGAAAGGGAAAGAAATAATTGAGGTTGTGAAATGATCAATTAAATAAAATTCAGAGAAAAACATAATAAGAAGTAAGTAGATAAGAATTTTGGATTGAGAGGATAGGAGTGAATAGAGTAGGGACCCTGAATACCTTCTCGTTTAGTCTAAATCGAGGATGAGAGTGTGTGTGTGTGGCTGAAGTTCAGCGGGCATGGTGAACCTACACATGGATAGAGTCTGAAACCTAATCTAGACGTGGATAAGTATTTGTGAGTGTGGGTCACCTAACAAATGTATCTGTTGTGGCCATTGTAAGATTTGTGTGTGTTTGTTATCCATGCGATGGGGGTATCCATTTCGCATGTCCTCGATAAAGACATAAATGCATTGCATGATGAAACCTTAGAAATGTTCTTTCGAGTGTATATGTGACCTTCTATGTGTATGTGGTTATGTTTTGAGATTATGATTGATATTCGAGTGTATCTATGTTCTTTCGAGAGTATGTAGATATATATTTGAAGATTATTTATGATATTTGAGAGAATTCAGAAATCTAATCAGAAACACGTGAAATTGTCAAAATAATAAATGAATTTTGCATTGAAACATCACTATTGCATTTGTCTCATATTGTGTGTTTTGCATGAAATCTTATCTGAGTTGAGAGGACAGAAATATTTATTGAATTGGTGAAACTCATTAAATTTTACCCTGATATTTTTCAGAGAAGAATGAAGAACCAACACCACTGCCAGACAAGTAGAATCTGTAAAAAAGGTTTTTATATTTGTAAATTTTGTGCATATTCGAAAAGTTTTATTTTATTCTATTAGACTCTAAATTCTGACCTCATGTTTTGTATATATAGTTATTGTACATATCACATGGAATGCTAGGTTGTATTATATTTTTTTATCTATGCATGTATATATTTTGTGGACCTACTACATAAAAATGACATGAGCAGGAATTGCGCCTCATATCGAGCATTGGGCCGTAACTATACTACTAATTTAAAACTTAATCCTTCCAGTTTAACCATTTATTTATTAATTTATCCAATTTCTGAATCATATGCGAAATTTTTGTTTTCCTATCTTTTAAATTAGCGCACAAAATTAATTAGCTCAATTCCATCGTTTACTTTCATATTCCTTATTTGTTTCTTTTTATCCATGTAAAATTTATATTAGAATCAACATGTAGAATATTCAAGCATAATTAAAACACAATCAATTAATGTAAATAATCGAACAAATACCACATCAAGCAGTAAAAAAGAAACCAGCACCTATCCCAGCGATTTAAACCTAAGGATAGGGGTTGTCCTCCTATTTCTTATCAGTCTCACTCACCTACTTTCCTCTTTGAATTCACAAAGAAAAATGTTAATAAACTGGTTCAAGAAAGTTCATGAAACTACTACTATAGCTACTACTTCACCCTTACTTGTTTCTAGCTTAAAATCAGCTCACTAAACCCAGTAAATACTTAAGGTTTTCAACCTTTAAAATGGGTTTCAAACATGCGAGAAAATTTCATCGTTCTGGTTAGTGTTAAAACTTGACCTTTCTCATATTTTTCTTGCTCACATCAATTTTATTTTTGGATTTTATGTTTCTCTATCATTTCTCTACTTCTAACCTACTGTGTTACGTACTTAGTATAATAATCTCGAACTCCGTAATTTCGTTTTATTCTGAATATTATAAATTTCGTTATATTTTTATCTTTTTATTTTGAAAACATTAAGAATTATTTTAAAATCCAAAAGAAAACATTCATGAAAAATTTCAAAAATACCCAAAATCCCTCAAGCACTTGTGGATTTTAGAAATCCCCCGGCTGCGGGATTTTAGAAATCCCCTGACCACGAGAAACAACTCCTTTTCCCCTTGGCACATGCCACAAGAAATACACGGACTCTCCCAATTTTCGAAAACCAACCACAAGGGCTTGTGGGCCACATCCCCTACCCCATACTAGCTTTACCCGCAGGACATGCACCCGTGAGAGAAAGCACGTGGAATCCCCCTCCTGCGAGACAACCTTCACATGGAAGACCGCACGTGGGACAACTTTTATCTAAGCATTGAAGGCCAACTGTCCACCTACTGTGGGTCATCATCACGCTATAGCATTCGTGCATCACATGGCCTCTAGTGACCGAAATAGTACCTACAATGGTCGGCCATTCACTCAATCAATGGCTTTCCTTCATTGCATGCTATCTAATAGCTCCCATTCATTCTTCCAATCCCATTAAGGCTTCTTCCTCTCTTCATTCGTTCGAAGAGAGAAAACTAAAGACATTTGAGAGCAAACACGAGTGAGTTGGAAAGAAAGAGAAATCGAGTGAGCTTGTTGCACGAATGACACCATGATGGTGCCACTTGTGCGAGCATTCCTTCCCAAATCGTCTTGTAACAATCAGCTATATACAACTATAAATTATCAATAAAAGAAGTATTTTTTAAAAAAATATTTTATTCATCTTACTTATTTATTTTGCTTAATTTAAAAACTAAAAATTATATGCATTTGAGAAATGATTTCCTAACACTCCTAACATCTTAAGCAAATTCTGTGGGAATGAGAAAATTTCCACCCGCGAGACTCTTAGCCAACAGGCATGCTAGCTCGCAGACACAAGTGGATCCCATCTACCAAGCCCACAAGCCTAGCAACCCGCGGACATGCAAAAGAGCGTGCCCATGTCAATCCGCAAGCCTAGCAACCGGCGGACATGCAAAAGAACGTGCGTGTCAATCCGCGTGATGGGCACGCGTGAAGGCATCAAGTGCCTTGCTTGCGAGCCGTGGGTGACACAGCTTGTTTGCCCGTGGACAACTTTTCCCGTAGATCGCAGCTCGCGTGTGAGTGTCTTTGACCTTGGTTTTTGATTTGACACCAGTAAGCGCAGCTTGTAGTGGGGTTTCAGCCACCTGGCTGGGGAGGCCAGTTGCCCAACCAGCTGTCGAAGCTCCAGCCTTTTTCTCCATTTGCTGTCGGCAACTCTTGGACACAATGGTTGGGATTGAATACATGTAATCGGACGACTAGCTTTTTATTTTAAACCCCATTTAAATGTTTCGTTCTTTAACTTTCTCCTTCTTCATTCGTTTAGGAAGGAAATTGAGAGAAATCAGAGGTGAAATAGAGAATTTGAGAGAGAAGAAGGTAGAGTGCAGGGAGAGGAACAAACCTGAATCATAGGAAAGACCAGCGTGAAGCCCGTAGGAGGATTTCTCTTTTTTCTCGATAAGGTAAACTTCTTTCGTCTTATAGCGTGTTTTTCCTTCATTTCTTGGTATGTAAATTTCGTGAATAACAGTCCCAAGAGCCCCAAAAAACTGCAGCAAAACTTCAGCCCGGAGCCTTTCTTCTGCTGCACCTGAACACGAAAACAGAGCTAGTAAGCTTGTTGTTTCTCCGTTATTTTCCGTTTCTGCCTTCAATTTCCTTTTACTCCTAAGTAGCTAATAGTTAGATTAAGATGTTAGGAGTGTTAGGAAATGATTTCTAGAAATAAAACAACTCTTAAATTCGAAATCTAACCCGAAATATTCGGCTTGTTCTGCAAATGCTGCTTAGGCGAGTTTCAAAATATCTTTTCAGTTTCAAACTCTTTTCCTTTGTGCGTTTGAGTACAAATCATCATCTTCTTGAGGTAAGATAAATGAGTAATTTAGTTATTACAAGTATGAGTTTTATGCATTTGCATCGGTAAATTTGCATGAAATTGAAGCTGTCTTAGTGTTTTAATAGAAACTGTACGTGTGTGAATTCTTGAACTTTTTAATATTTAATTTGTTGATTAAGTGATGTTATGGTGAACTATGATGTGTATTTAATTGTTAAGAACAAAGTTCAATGGAAATTGAATCAAAATTGAGTAGGAATTGGATGGGAATTTTTGACAAAGGCTAACACTGCCTCTGTTGATTGTGCCAGGCACCAAAGTGTCAGGATTGATGGGCACTCGCGGTTTTGCACGTGGGATTGCACACGGGACCCTTCCCACGAGTGCAGAAGTGTCGGGAAAGGGCTCCCAGCACTTTGCGCATGCATAAAATGCTGCGCAAGTAATCGTGGGGCTTTGTCAGGCATCTACAAATGCCAAGAGGGCCTGTGTGAGTGCGTGCATGCATTATGAGCCAGCATGCGTATGCATGCAGGGACATGTGCGAGGATGCCCATTGCATCTCAGCAGATGCCTTGCGGGCCAGTTGTATTGTGCAGCAGGCAAGGGAAGCAGGTGTAGGCACGCTGAGAGGCCTTTGCAAATGCCATCGTGCAACGGGCGCAGGCAAAGTGACAAATTCGAATAGTAAAAAGAAGAATAAAATTTATTTCGTAAATTGAATTGGTAAAAGGAATAATTGAAAGTTTGAAAGTAATGTAAAAATGGAAATAAAAGCTGAAGTAAGATTTAAACATAACGTTATTTAAATAATATAATAAATAAACTTAAAAATAATAATAAAATTTAATCTTAAAAATCTCAGGTAAATAACTAAAAGGTGTTATGCCTTCAATTTAATTAATGGGTCAAATTAATTTAAATAAATCAAAATAAAGAAAATAAAAGAGTCAAAATTTAAATAACATAGTATTAGTTAAACCTAATTCACCACATTTTTTTGGAGAGATATTGTTATTGGTTTTGGAATCACTAGGCTTTCGGTGTGGTATTGCGTTTCATATTGGAACTATGGTTCAGTTGTCCTGGTGAGTATGAACTAATTGCTATTCATGCTTTGACAAGATATGAATGATGGCAATCGGAGTGAGAATTGTGGGATGGCATCTGGAGAGTTCTGAGAGTTTGTATGTATATTTACATCATTGTTTTGTATTGTATTGATTGCGCACCCACTCAGAATTAGTTAGTGTCCTATTTGTCCTCTTTGAAAATAGGTGTAAGTGGTTGCGTGCGTAGGATTCTAACCAGTGAAACTTAAATTAAGATTAACAATTTTTAATTAAAATTATGTCAAAAGAAGAGTTAGTGTCTAATCGTGTGTGTGTGTGTGTATGCCTGTGTGCGTGTTGCGTAAACTGATTGAATATGGTATTGCGCGTCTTTGACAATTGAATTGGATATTGATTTTGGGATATTGCCACAAGGAAGGAGTATTTAGTAAATTAAGTTAAAACGGTAAACACCTTTGAAATTTTTGTATGCATGATATGTTCTTGACTCAATGGTGTATGTGTGTGTAGATTCATGAAAATTACGTGTTTAAATTAGTTATTTGTTTTCTAAATGTTATTTATTTAAGTTAAAATTGAAGAATGATGTTTTTGTATTGGTTTCAGAGAAGAAATTGATTGAAAAAACGAAGAAAACGGCAGGAGAAGTTGGATGCTTCTGCCTGTGATTGCCAGGCACCAAAGTGCTAGGAAAGGTGGTAGAGTGTGGTTGTGTCATGCAATTAGTGCACGCGGGTCACTGTACAAACATGTCAAAGTGCCAAGACAAGGTCCCTTAGCACGTTGAACAAGGACGCACGAGCTTTGTCAGACACTCATGCGCATTGAGAGAGCCTAAGGTGAGTATGCCCATGCATGCCCAGGGTTGGTCTGGCATGCCCAAGTGGCAGGACAACACCTTTAACACGTTGTCTGCATGCAGGCATGCGACTCTACCAAACGTCGTGCATTGAGAGAGTTATGCACAATGGCACTCCCTTGTGTTGTGCAATGAATGAGCACACAAGATGAGCGCGACCTATATGGGAATGCCTAAGTGCTGAGGTAAAGTTCTCCCTAGGTGCTTATGCTACGCCAAGAGAGTCGTACGGACTGGCACTTGCTATGGTGAGTGAGTACACAAGATTTTTCCCCTTATGCGGGTTTTGTTTCTCGGTGAATCCCTAGAACCTAATTGGGCTTTAAATTGGCCAAAATTAATAAAAATAAAAATTTTTGACATGGAATGAATAAAATGAGAAATTAAGGAAGTAAATAAAAATAAATTAAAAATATAAATTTTAATTTAACAAACATTAAAAGGTAATTTAAGAAAAATTTATAAAATAACAGGTAACATAACAAGTGAAAAGACTTTTAGGTGAAAATTAGGGCTTAGGAAAAATAATTGGCAAAAGAATTTATCATCTAGAGTCAGTAAAATTCATTTACCTATCATCACAGAGGGATACTGTTTATGTTTTAATTTACTGTTGGTGAACCTCACCTTATGAATGGGCATGATATTGGCTTTTCTTTCAGACGAGAGTTGGATTGCGATTGATTGTTAAGGGCCACCATGGCGAAGTACTGTCGTGTTCATAAAATTTAATTATTGTTATATATATTCTTACTGGCTTTTTCTAATTCATAGAGGTAGTTGGGAATCCTCTTTACCTTTTGTTAATATAAGTTAAAACGACTTCGCGTGAAGATATGTAAATAGTGAAATCTAATGTAGTCAAATAATCGAACTACTAAAAATATTAAAGAGGAACATGTATGATTCATTATGATTGTTGTAATTGATTTCTAAATCGATTAATGGGTTTGATTTTGATTGAGATTAACGAATAAGGATATGAGAAATTTTATTACAATGAAATGGAATTGTAAATATACTATGAAATTTTTTGATAATCTTGATTTAGATATCTATTTTGGAATGATAATGTAGAATTTTCATTGATTGTATTAATTATTTTTAAAATTTTATTTGCATGAATTTAATACTGCTTTCCTTACTGAATTTTATGGAACTCATCCCCAATCTAGCCCCCAAGATGATGTAAATAAGGCTGATATGCTCCTCAACACTTGCTTGGATCTATTTCTAGATTAGTAGAGGATGAGTGCATTGAGAGCTCTTTATTTTGTGAGGCTGATATTTTGTAATTCATAGGATTAGCTAGAACAACTATAATGTAATTTAAAGTAGTTAATCTTTTTATCTTGGTATACTCTAATGTATTTTGTAAGAGATGAATGTAACTTTCATATTTATTTTAATTAAATGCATTTGTATTTACTATGTTTTTGGACACTGTCGCCCATCGGGTAGCAGGTTGTCACAGGTGGTATCAGAATAAGATTTCCTAGGACATCTCTTACACTAAGGCTTAGATTTAAGGTAAGATAATTAGGAGAATACTTTTAGGAAAA